AGAGAGGTTGTGGAGGCTCCTTCTCTGGAGATCTTCAAAACCCGCTTGCATGTAGTCCTGTGCCACATGCTCTAGGTGACCCTGTGTGTGCAGGGGGGTTGGACTAGATGATCTCTAGAGGTCCCTTAAGCATTCTATTCTATTCTATGAGCAGCACCACCAACAAATCTTGAATTTGTTATGGCTTTGTGTCTTGGTGTGAACTGTGCCAAGACATGTTCATTGATGCCAGATATAGTTGTGCTCGTACTGCAGTGAGAAGACATTAATGGGGCTTTCTTTTCTCTATCAAGCATCTGTGTTTACTGACTGCGGAGGAACTGAGTATGTTTGAGATCCCTGTCCCTTCTTTAAAAATGGATGGTTGGTTCAAAAGTTATTAGGGCAAGAGACTGGAAGACAAGCAGATAATCCTAGTGCATAAATCACATTTCTTTGGGAAAACCAGTCTAAAGAACAAGAAAAAACAGCACTTCTAACTGAAAGATTTTAGTTGGGATTAAAAATAAGCTTAAAAATAATGTATTTTGACAGATTTTCGCACACCTACGTTGACTTGCTCATTGAAGATCCCCATACTGTTAACTTCTCTTTTGTTTGTTGTCCAACTCATATTTGACAAATTGCGCAGTCTTTTTAGGTAATTGTCAATCTGTCTATTTTGTGTTCTGCAAGCATCAAAATGATCAACTTCCATCTGGTGTTCTTTTAAGAAACATTTCCCACTTCAAAGTCCACTGGCAACATTTTCCCCATATTGCTAACAAATTGCTATCTCATTTTACTTCTGACCTCTCCCGCTGCCCTCCGACGATGCTACAAAATAATTTTTCCTCCAAGAAAATCTTTGGACAGAGCTTTTTCTCTGACCGCCAGCCTACAAGAACCACTATGCCAAGTCTTCCAGTAGGCTTTCTCACTTGTTGATAGTGCTGGCAGCTGCATCTAGAACAGACCAATATATTCAGTGTCCTGGAGGTAGGCTGCATCAACCTGAGGTGCTATACAGTGGCGGGGGTGTGAAGGGATGCAATATTGCTATCTTATCCCCAGCCCAGCAGAGTGTTAGTTCCAAGAAAAGACCAGAAACATGGTAAGTGTTTCTATGTTTTACCACAGAAAGTGGTAAAACTCACCTTTCATTTTGCCATATATCTCAGCATAGCATTAACCTGAGCACCCACGTAAGGTGGCTTAAACTCTTGCATTATCAGTAAAGAACAGCCACTTTAATTATTTTTTAACCCTTTTAAATACAGGAAAATTAAAATTTTTTAATGTATTAGAGCGAGACTAATGTTGTGAATTTAAATCAAGGGTTGTCAGGAAATGGAAATGAAACTCCTTGATCTTCTCTGTTGTAATTTATATTCTGAGTAGAGCTAAATATATATCAAGAGTCACACTAGGAGAAAATATAGACTGGAAACCTGAACTCTTCTGGCATTTGCATTTGTAAACTCAGTGGAAACTAGTGTTATTTTTTAATTTCTTTCTTAACAGGAAAAAAACAGAAGCACTAAACTTCATGTGCATGAGCAATATGTTTCTCTCCCAGGGACAGTCCCAGGAGCAGCGGATTCTTCAAGCAGGCTCCAATAGTAAAAAGAACTGAAGCACCTTTGAGAGATGCTAAGAGAAGTATGATCATCCTCTTTTTGGAAGGGAGCTGATGCAAAAAGAGGATTTCCTTTCTTCTTGAACTAAAACTTTAAGTGGTTTTGCTGATCAGTTTAGTTGGCTAGAAACCCATGGAAAGCTCTTGTCTTTGAAATGAAAGAGACAAAAAACACCTTTGTACAGTTTGAGAATATGAATTCCTCCCTGTTTGCCACTAGATAACACATGACTCATTCTTGCAGCTCTCCTGAGCCTGCTGCTGCTGCATACCTGTCAAGATGCAGAGGATTTTAACCTTACCTGAAAGCAAAATGGGTAGTCAAACATCTCTCTAATAGTACTATACAATAAATGAGAGAACTGAGAGTATAGATTGAAGACTTTTGACTCTTGCTTTGGTGAAGTGGAAAACAGAATTGTCCGATTTCAAAACAGTGATAAAGAACAACAGCATTTTGGATATAAAGTTGCTGGTTGATAGTTAGCTTAAGAACTTAGCGACTCACCCCAGAAGTTTGCATTAGAGGTTTCTTGGTACTCCTAAGGGTGCTGGTAGTATAACCAGTTACCTGAGTACCCTCTAGCCCAAATTTCAATGAAACAAGGGTGATAATAATTGAGGGGTTCAGATTTGAAGACAAGAATCATAGAATCATAGAATCATAGAATGCTTAGGGTTGGAAGGGACCTCTAGAGATCATCTAGTCCAACCCCCCTGCACACACAGGGTCACCTAGAGCACGTGGCACAGGACTGCGTCCAAG